CTTCATTCCAGAAGAGGACATCAGATCCCACTGTTGATGGTTGTGAGCCACCATGTGGTTGCTGGGAATTGAACTCGGGACCTCTGAAGATCAGCCAGTGCTCTTAACCTCTGAGCCATTTCTCCAGCTCCCAGTAGAAACACTTTTTAGCACCATTCATGAAAACCACACGTTGCTGGATGAGATGCCTTCCAGTTATGCTTATTTGTTTGCTTGTTTTAAGACAAAGCCTCCAGGTGTAGCACTGGCTGGCCTAGAACTCTTTCTGTAGACCAAACTGGCCTTGAATTCAGAGATCCTCCTGTCTCTGACTCCCTAGAGCTGGGATTAAGGAAATGGGCTACCATGCCCAACGACTGATGATACGTTGCTGTTTGTTTTGTTTTGTTTTAACATTTATTTATTTATTATGTATACAGTGTTCTGCCTGCCTGCATGCTTGCACGCCAGAAGAGGGCATCACATCTCATTGTAGATAGTTGTGAGTCACCATGTATGTGGTTTTTGGGAATTGAACTCAGGACCAGTGCTCTTATCCTCTGAACCATCTCTCCAGTCCAATACGTTCCAGTTTTATGGTGAACATTCACTCTTTTTGTTGTTGTTTGTTTGTTTGTTTGTTTGTTTTTTGAGACAGGATTTCTTTGTAGAACAGTCCTGACTGTCCTGGAACTCACTGTGTAGACCAGGCTGGCCTCAAACTCACAGAGATCGATCTGCCTTTGCGTTCCAAAATGCTGGGATTAAAAGTGTGCGCAACCAACACCTGGCTAAATATTCACTCTTTTCTGTCCCTCTGATTCCCAGTTATAAACATCAGGAAAGGCCATGGGATTATCTATTTTTGGAATGAAGTATAATTTCACGGGCCCTCAAGGGTGGACATGATGTGACTGACAGACTGCTCGACATATATCCCTCCGATAAGTCAGAAGTCAGGAGCATTTAAAACATTTTGTGAGGAACTGGAGAGACGGCTCAGTGGTTGAAAACAGTGACTGCTCTTCCAAATGACCCAGGTTCAATTCCCAGCACTCACGTGGCAGTTCACAACTGTCTGTAACTCCAGTTTCAAGAGATCTGACACTCTCACACAGACATACATATAGGCAAAACACCAATCACTGCTCATAAAAATAAAAGTAAATAAATTATTTTTAAAAAATTTTGTGAGCCAGCTCCAGCTCCAGGGAATCTACATAGTGAGTTCTAGGACAGCCAGGGCTATATAGAGAAACCTTGTCTCAAAGAACAAAAACAAAATAAAACACTTTGCATCCCATATATCTGCTTAGTTACATCTTTCTCTAATTACGGTATGCTGTCTCCCTGGGGAGACAGTGCAGGGGCACTAAAAGAGATATCCTCTCAGCTCCAATCTGTCCTATAGGGTGGTCCAACAAGTTGTTAGAATTGCATGCAAGTTCCTCCTCTGGCTGGCACCAGGTCTCAGCCACAGAGCTGGTGGGTTTTTTCTGGGGAAATTTTCTTTTGGTGCCACTGTTTCAGTAGAGTGATATGGAGAGGGTGGGCACAATCAGTGGTTGAGAGTGCATACTTCTCTTGTGGAGGATCTCGGTCTAATGCACTCTTATGAACTCTTTGGACTCCGAGTATGCAGATACAAATACAACTAAAATTGATGTAAATAAATGGACTCTGAGGGCTTCTGTACTTACATTTACCCACACATACAACTAAATTGAATATAAATAAATAAATAAGGGGCTGGAGAGATGGCTCTGCTGTTCAGAGCACTGGCTGCTCTTCCAGAGGACCCAGTTCAGTTCCCAGTACTCATGTCAGGTGACCCACAACCACTTATAGCTCCAGCACCAGGAGAGCCAACGCCGCCTTCTGCCCTCTCCATGGGCATCTGCACACATGTGACATACACACACAGAGACACAGACACAAACACCACACACACAAAAAAAAAAAACAAAGTGAAGTGAATAAGGGCTGGAGAGGTGTGCCAGTGGTTAAGAGCACGTATTGCTTTTTCCAGAAGACTCATGTTTGGTTCCCAACACCCACATGCGGTGGTTCACAACCACCTGTCACTCCAGCTCCAGGGGTCTGGCACCTCTAGATTCCAAGGGCACCTACATTCATGAACACATCCCTAAACACAAACACATACAATTTAAAAATTATTTAGGTTTATTTTATACCTGTGAAGTTTTAGCCTGCATGCATATCTGTGTACCATGTGTGCCTGGTGCCTGGGAGTCAGAAGAGGGGGTCCTCTGTGAGAGTAGTACCCACTCTTATTTACTGAGCCCTTTATTCTGCCACTCCTGTTACCAGCTCATTCTGAAGAAGGAAAGGAAACAGATCTTCTCAATGAAGGCTGTTGCCAGTTCATAGGAAGCCACCATGCAGAACCTACATCATCGTAAAGTCGTATAACACCGCTCAAGAGAAGACTATTGCTGGGCCTAAAGCTGCAACACCAGGCAACACAGTCCCTCTGCTGACTCCCCAAGTGCACCCAACAGCCTGCTCACAGAACCAGAGAGGAGTCATTTGCAAGCAATCACAGCAAAGGTCTCCTGCAAATGAGCGCTTGTATTTCCACCAATCACACAGCCTTGCTTCTTCAGGACCAGTTTCAACAACCCTTTTGCTAAGATTGTCAGGGTCTGGAAGCAGAGCTGGAGAGGATAAGCCATAGAGAAGTTATAGACAAGATTTTGAAGAGCTGAAGACAAAGGGCCACGGCTTGGTTACAGGAAGAGTGCCAAGCTCTGAAAAGAGGTGTGTTGTGTTCAACCTTTTGACATTGTCCTATGAAGCTGTCACCCAGAGTTCACACTTGAGAACTGTGCAATTGAGCTACCAAAAAAAAAAAAAAAAAATTGCAAAAACATCTTTTGAATAAGGTCATGATTTTGTGTTGGGCTACACTCTATCTTTGGCTGAGGTCTGGGCAGGCTTGCAGGGCTGAGTCCTGACACTCAAGAGCTGACACTCTCAAGCAGAGGCCTACCTGAGGCTAGAGAGGGAGGAGTGTGGTAGCACACACTTTTAATCCCGGCACCAGGAGGCAGAGGCAGGTGAATCTCTGTGTGTTTGAGGCCAGCCTGATCTACAGATCAAGTTCCAGGACAGACAGGGCTACACAACCATGTCTTGGAAAAAAAAAAGAAAAAAAACAAGAGGGGAGGGGGTTGGGAGGTGCTACTACCTCTCAGGATCCATGGGTCTCAACAGTCAAGACCTGAGAACTATAAAAGTACTCAGTGGAAGGTTATAGTAGATGCTTGTGTGGGGCTCCTGGCAATTAACACCCCCCCCAGAAGAAAGCCTGTATCCCAAGCACCTACAGTCATAAGTGTCCGGCCTCTAGAACCCGGAGCCATAAGACTTTCTCAAGATTTGGTTTCTGAGTCCAGACACTAAGGCTTTGGGCTCTCAAAATTCTGGGCCTGCCAGTGCTGGAAGACATGCTGGTTTTTTGTTTTTGTTTTTATTTTAATTAAATACATTTACTTAGTCATGTGCATGCTCGTGCAAATCAGAGGCTAACTCTCAGGGTCACTTCTCTCCCTCCACAATATGGGCTTCCAGGATGGAACTCAACTTTTCAGGTTTGACAGCAAGAGTCGGCTGAGAAATCTCACTGGGCTGTAGCTCCTCATTTCTGAGTCGATCAAAAATACTCCAGCAGATTGCTAACTCATCCACCATCCCCTGGTCACCAGTCTCATTCGTGGAGTCTTTATATAGCACAGGCTAGCATGAACTCATCTTCCTGGCTCAGCCACTCCACTGCTCGGATTCCAAGTCTGTGATTTCATGGTCAACTAACTGGTCCTTTAAAAAAAAAAAAAAGCTTTCCTATTAACTTTTTTCCCCTGGGTGGGGCTGGAGCGATGGCTCAACTGTTAAGAGCAGTTCCTGCTCTTACTGAGGACCTGGATTCAATTCCCACCCTATGGCAGCTCACAGCTGTCTGTAACTCCAGTTCCGGGTGATAACATGTTCTCTTCTGACCTCCGAGGACATCAGGCACACACGTGGTGCACAGATACACATGCAGGCAGAACACTCATACACATAAAAATTTTCGAGTTAGAGATGGGTGGTAAGCCACCATGTGGGTGCTGGGAGCCAAACTTGGTCCTCTGAAAAAGTGCTCTTCAGCTCTTAGTTCCCTCAACTGGTCCTTTTTAAGAATGTCGAAACATCCCATAAGGAATAGCTCTCGGTGGGAGTTATCAAAACTTCTGACAAGCAAGACAGACAGGAGCTGACTATCTTTCCCAGTATCCATTCCTATCGCCTCCCTGGTCACTCGGAGCCGGCTCCGCCCCGTCCACCCCACGCTGACCCACGTGATCGCGTTCTCCCGCGTGTGAAGGAGGCTGTCTCCGGCGGAGTGATCCACAGTGACCGTCTGCTCGGGGGTCCGCACTAGGTGACGAGCTGCGATGCAGGTGGCCATTGAAACTAAAGCCACTCGCGACACGATTGTGCATTGTGAGGGGCAGTCATTTTCCTGTGTGTTGGCTGCTTCTGGTTGGCGGCGAACTCCTCGTGCAGTTTTGGAACCCTTCGTTCTTTTGCCCCGTCAGTGGACGGGTCTAAAACGCAGCCCTTAAAGGGGGAGAGGATCCAGTCTTGTCTGTCAAGCAGTCTGTCTGATTAAAAGCAAAGCTTAAAAAGCCTCCTGTGTGGAAGTCTCAGTTTTCTTGGCATGGTTCTCTAGTCACATATTTTGTCTCCGTACAGTTCCACGTGTTCAAAGCATTGGAGAATCTACTTGGTGCTCCCCAGATAGTTCAGTCCTTGCCGCTAGCGCCCGCCGGGAGAGGCATAGGAACGTCCGCCATCTTGGACGCAACTATTTCTTAACCAAAAATGGGGGAGCCACATAAACCAGTGAGTTTACTTGCTACCCAAAGTCCCTTTTGGCTATAAATAACCTGTTTTGTCTTGAAATATAATCTATGGTTGTTTCTAGATGCTTTTTATGCGTATCTGAGTTTCCTTGGGGTGGTCGTGAGGAACGAGGGCGTGGGTGTCTCCCCCCTGAGGTGCATATTGGTACGATCTATTCGCTGCACGCACGTGGCTCCGCTCTAGCGGCGCGCGGTGATTCCTGGGAGTCGGAAGCAGGGCGGCCGAGCCGGGTGAGGAGCAGCGCGGGCCCATGCAGGACGCTGAGAACGTGGCGGCGCCCGAGGCGGCGGAGGAGCGGGCTGAGCCCGCGAGGCAGCAGCCAGCCTCCGAGTCTCCGCCGGCGGATGAGGCGGTAGGGTCTGGAGGGTCCGAAGTGGGGCGGACGGAAGACGCCGAAGAAGACTCTGAGGCCGGACCGGAGCCCGAGGTGAGGGCCAAGCCGGCGGCCCAACCCGAAGAGGAAACGGCGACGAGTCCGGCCGTGTCGCCGCAGCCGGCGGAACGGTCCTCGGCGCAGGAGCCCTCCGCTCCCGGGAAGGCGGAGGCCGCGGGCGAGCAGGCCCGGGAGCACTCTGCCGGAGGAGCGGAGGAGGAGGGTGGGTCCGATGGCAGCGCGGCTGAGGCAGAGCCGCGGGCTCTGGAGAACGGAGAGGCAGATGAGCCCTCCTTCAGCGACCCCGAGGATTTCGTGGACGACGTGAGTGAGGAAGGTAAGGGCTGTAATCGTGAGTGTGTCTATGGTGAGGGTATCCTCGGATGTCGTCGAGTGGGCGCGAGGTCTTTCGTCTACAACGATCCGCCCCTATTTTCTCTAAAGTAGGGGACCACTTGGGGAGCCACCTCTGCGGGAAGACCGAGCATCTAGGGTTGGTAGAAGGCAGGACAAGTTGCAGTATCCGGGGCATTCCAGTTTCCTGGCCACGGTTTCCAGCGTTGGTCAGCTAGACCCCCTCAGGGCCGAATGGGAGGGACAGGACGTGTAGATTCTGGTGCCTTCCCCCTTTGCAGAAGTGTCTTCCCCACGGTTTCCGTAGGAAGGCATTGCCGTCTGACCCAGCCACATTCCCGCCTGCTTATCTTCTTTTCTCCTTGGTCAGAACCCCTCACCATTCTTGTGTTGGGCATTCCTTTTTCACACTGTTCGTTTTGCAGCTTACTTCATATTCCCTTCTACGGAGACTGGTTCTGTGTTTTGCACGGGAGCCTGATCCCCAAAATCATTTATGACAGCTGATAGCATGTGTTTTCTGCCATTTCAACTTCGGGCGGAGAGCACATGAGTCAGTTCCTTTATGTGTTGATTTGCTTAATATCAAATATTAAGGGGCAGTAGATGAAGCTGAACTTGAACTCTTTATTCTCCTGCGTTTGTTTCTGTATTGCTGGCACTGCAGGCATGAATCCCCCAAATTACTGATTTTGAACTGCCAGTGATACGCCAGGAAAATCCAGAGCCTCAATATAGTTGTCAACCTAGAACTTAAAATATTAAAGGGGCTGCCATTTAAATGGTGACGTAGTTAACTTTTGTAGGTTTATGGGGTTTGTATTTTGTTGTAAGTCTCGCATAGCCCAGGCTGGCCTAGAACTCTATGTAGCTGAAGCTGGCTTTGAACTGATCCTCCGGCCTCCACTTTAAGATGGCCAGCATTTAAGGTGTAAGTCACCATGCCTGGCTTGTTTTACTGTATTTCTTAAGGTAAAAGATGTTTTAGCCTGAGAAGCAGGTAAACTACTGTGAAGATTCTACCAGTCTTTGAGGAAATTTCTCTGGATGAAGCAGGTTTCTGGGTTCCCACCTCTTGCCCAGCTCCAGTGATCTCTGATATACCTGTTCCCCCATGCTAAAGCCTAAGTTTTGGCTTTGGAGCTCCTTTTGAACCCTTGGTTATTTCTTTTTGGTTGGAGTTTCTCCCTGTTGCTTCACGGTTTCAGACAGACCTCACACTGTATCCCATGCGGGCCCAGAACTCATAGTCATCCTCCTATCTTGCCCACTCAAGTGCTGAGATGACAGGTGTGAACCACCACCAAATCAGCTGCTTTTTTAGGGGAGAGAGTGTCACCCTGAATTCAGGGCTCACCAGTTGGTCAGACTGGCTGGCCACTGAGATCCTTGCTTGTACCTTTCTAGCCCTGGGAATATAGGTGTGTGCTGCTGTGCCAGCTTTTTACCTGGGTACTGGGGGTCCTAACTCAAGTCCTGCTGCTTGCCCAGCAAGTACCTTTTGGACTAACCATTTCTCCATATGCCCCCCACCACCATCTTTTCCCTTTTTCAAAAGTTTATTTTTATTTTTTAAATTAAAAAATTGTTTTATGCAAAGGAGCATTTTGTCTATCTGTATGTCTGTATGTATGTATTCATGCCTAGTGCCTGTGGAGGCGGTTGAATCTTCTAACTGGAATTAGAGTTGGTTGCAAGCCACCATATGGGTGCTGGGAATCAAACATGAGTCCTTTAAAAGAGCCAGTGCTAATTGCTGAGCAGTCTTTCCAGCCCATGTTTGTTTCATTTTTAATTTTGGGTATGTCCATTTGTCTGTGTAGGTTTGTATGTATGTGAGTGCAGGTGCCCACTAGGACCACATGAGAGTGTTCAATTCCCTAGAGCAGGAGTATAGGTGGTTGTGAGCTACCCTATGTAGGTACTGGGAAGCAAATGGGCCTGTCTGCTGCACGATATGAGTATTTAAAGAATTATTTGAGCCCACTTAATTCCCAGATTCCAGTGTGCAAATTACCTCCAGAATTGGGGGGTATGGAAATGAGGGAATCCTGATGTGACTACAAGGCCAGCCTGCCTCCCTCTGGTCTGCTGGGAGCCCAGTGGGTCCACTGTATGAGGGAAATACAGAGTAACGAGGAGGGTCTGGTTCTGAAGAACTGGCACTCTTACGGCCATCTGGCTTTGGGTGGTCACATAGAGATGTCACAAGCCTGGGAAGGGAAGGCAGCCTTTTGGTTCTTAACCAGAGGAGCAGCATGGAGTCTGTCTTGTCTCCTTCCTTATTCTGTCTCACAGTTGTGTGTTAGTATGTATCTCCTGTTCTGTTTCTGAGAATGAACAAGTTGTTTCCCCAAGTGTGGTGTGCATGCCTGTCATTCCAGTACTTGGGAGGTAAAGGGAAGAGTCTGAAGTTAGCCCCTGCTGCATAGGGAATGCAAAGCCAGCCTGAGGTACATGGGACCTTGTATTAAAAAAAAAAAAAAAAAAAAAAAAAGGGCCGGGCGGTGGTGGCGCACGCCTTTAATCCCAGCACTCGGGAGGCAGAGCCAGGCGGTTCTCTGTGAGTTCGAGGCCAGCCTGGGCTACCAAGTGAGTTCCAGGAAAGGCGCAAAGCTACACAGAGAAACCCTGTCTCGAAAAACCAAAAAAAAAAAAAAAAAAAAAAAAAAAAAAAAATGGAAAGGGCTGAAGAACTGGCTTAGCAGTTAAGAGCACTTAGTATTCTTCCAGAGAACTGGGTTTGATTCCCAGCTCCCACATGGTGGCTCACAACTCTCTAACTCCAGTTCAAGGACCTGATGCTCAGGTACCAGGCATGCATGTGGTGCAAAACATTCGTACACAAAAAAAAAATTTTTAGGGCTGGAAAGATTGTTTAACAGCTGAGCACTGGCTACTCTTCCAGAGAACCTGGGTTCAATTCCCAGCACCCACATGGCTCACAACTCTCAATAACTCCAATTGCACTCTCACACAGACATACATGTAGGTAAAACATCAGTGCACATAAAATAAATACAATTTTAAAAGTAAATAAATAGATAAATTTTTAAAGAACCCAAACAAACTAAAACAAATATGTGTTGCATTGTGGGGATACTTTGCTCTGCCCTGCCCAGGTAGCAGCAGATTGTTACAGGCTAGGTAGACACTTTGAGCTCCTGGGAAGGAGTCTGTAGTTTGTGTAGAAGCTGAGCTTTTTTATTACATCTTGTTAAGTTCAGATCCAGCTTAACAGGCCATTTAATAGTATGGTGAGCAGGCTTTTAAAGGAACCCGGAGTTCACTGTAGCTTCTGTAGTAAAGGTGTGTGGCATTGCTGTTGAAAATCTGCCTCCTTGCTCTTTGCCTGCTCTTGATTCTGCCATCTTTGAAATGTGTCTTAATTGGGTTTTATTGATGTGACAGAACATGGTGGCCAAAAGCAACCCTGAGTCCATCATCCAGGAAGTAAGGGCCCACCAACAAAAGTCATTTGGTTGCGTGGTGGAGGTGGTGTGTACCTTTAATCCCAGCACTTGGGAGACAGAGGCAGGCGGATCTCTGAGTTTGAGGCCAACCTGGTCTACCGAGCACATTCCAGGATGGCCAGGAATACACAGAAAAACCCTGTCTCGAAAAACCAAAACAAAACAAAAAAAGAATCATTTGATGAGTTGGTGCTGTGCATTTGTGTCAGAAAAGCGTTCTGGAGTTGGTTTCTTCTTATACAGTGGGTTCCAGGGTTTGAACTTGGGTTGTCAGACTTGTACAAGTGCTCTACACACTGAGCCTTCCTGCTGGCCCAGAATTTCCTTTTATTTTTAATCATATATATTATTTTAATTTTTTTAGCTTCTTCTGTATGTATGTGTTTACCTGCATTCGTGTATATGCACCACATGTGTGACTGGTGTTTGTGGAGGCCAAAAGACGGCATCAGATTCCCTGGAACTGGAGTTATGGATGGCCTCTGCAAGAGCAACAAGTGCTCTAAAATGGCAGGGCCATCTCTCCAGCTCTTTTTTTTTTTTTTTTTTTTTTTCTATTCTTTCTTTTTGTGTGTAGGTGTCTTGTCTGCATGTTTGTCTGTATGTGCATAGGGCAGTGGGTTCCCTGATTGGGGTTGCAGATGATTGTGAGCCACCGTGTGGATGCTAGGAACTGAACTCTGGTCCTCTGGAAAAGTAACAAGTGCTCTTAACTGCTGAGCCATCTCCCTAGCCCCACATATGTATTTTCTTTTTGGTCTTTTTGAGACAAGGTTTCACTGTGAAGACTATGAAGTCTCACTATGGTTGTCCTGGAACTCACTATGTAAATCATGCTGACCTCAAACTCTGCCTCCTGAGTTCTGGATTAAAGGCCTGAATTACCATACCA